CGAAAATTTTGCCACGTCAGCAATTAACTGACGGAAGGACAAAATTGGTCCCAAAAATTGAAGTTTAAGGATTTTTTTAGTACTTTTTGAAGTTTGAGGGTAGTTTTAGTCCAAAAATGAAAGTTGAGGGACTGAATAAGGGGATATAACCTAAGAAATTAGTATGAATTAGTTGTTAGTAATTAAGGATTCGATCCCCAAACCGAATGAACATTTCACCTCCTCTGAGGCACGCGGTCAACAAATCATTTTTTGGTGGAATTCACGACGGTGATAGAATTCAAAACTCTGACCACTTCACCCAAACACTTAAGGTTTGAGGTCAAATTATTAGACCTAAAGACCGATTTAAAAATTAAAACACCTTAATTAGTTAGGAAATAGTATCTTTCAAATTCTGTACCAATAATTCTAGCTGTAGTATAGCAATTTTTCACGTGATTTAATGGTAGTCATGTCGTCCATCAGACAATAAATGAAATGTATGTTTAACCATAAATTTGACTCTTTTAAAAAATAGACACTAATTAATTTAATTTAAAAATTTTTATTATTAAAAAAAAAATTCTAACTATCGTATACATATGCATCTTCTCATCCACATGCCAAAGCAGGTCATTTTCTAATTTGCATTATTATAATAAAAGATCTACCACGGGATGGAAGACAGATCATATGACCTCACTAAATAAGACGGTGACAGTAACATTTATGTACTCCACCAAGCCACCGTAGCAAGTGTATTTCGCAAGTGTCGTGTTTAAGAAGCTCACCAAATTGTGTCTAAGGCTTTAACTATATTTCCATTTTCTGTCATTCAATTAATATTTATTTAAATCTTGTCATTGACTTTTTAGCAGATGCATTTATTAGCTATGGTAAGAAAAATAATATCAAAATTTATGGACAGATAGATAAGAGGGAAAAACAGGACTCTTTGGTAAAAAAAAAATTGTCAGGAAATCTTTAGTAAAATGGTGTGTTTTACTGGGGCATTCCATCTATCTAGGGGCCGGCATCAGTACATTACTGAATTATATTGGGCCAATTTTTATATTGTTCTAATTATATTTGATTTTTTAATTTTCTATTAAGTATGGACCTGAGTGTGTTTAGTCGATATAGCATTCAGGAATCGTTGCTTGGTATTTTTAAAGTAAAAACCAAGAATTGACTCAATATGTATTGGTTACAATTGATCTAATTAAATAGTACAATACTAACTTATACTGTTATGATTATATTTAGTTAAATTATTTTTTAAAATTGTTAATACTAACAACATAACATTACAGAAAATGCTTTAATGGATCTTCTTCAATGTAAAAAACCTAGTATGATAGACAAAGACAATTATTCTCAACACCTAAATCAACATTACTGCAAACATGACAAAGCTATAAATATATAAAAATTTGTTGTCCATCAAACAAGTCATCAATTCAACACCTAATACAACTTTTGCAATTGTTGAAAACAAAATAAGTAGCAGTAGTATTTATAGCAATAGTTGGTAGCATTTGCAGCAACAAGCAACCCCAAAAATAAATCCAAAACTGCACATGCATAGTAGCAAATGTCAACCATCTAAAAGTGTGGATGTAATATTTTATACTTGCAAATGATGAAATCCAATAATAAAATTTAGCCAAATGACATAATTTTTAAAATCAAAATTTAAATATTAGACAATCTGTTTTTAAAAATATTAAACTTAACTCTTCCACTTCCTCTAGTTCATCTAAATCCTCACAATTAAGAGTAATATTGACATGTTTTCCTTTTTGCCTAGGCCAATCTTGTGTGCATACTAGAGCTCATGCCATCTTAGGAGTTAAGGAACTCCTAAAGTCATCTAGCACACGACCACTTGTGCTGAAAGCTGATTTAGATACCACTGTTGAAATTGGAATAGCTAAAATATCTTGTGCCATTGTTGCAAGAATAGGAAATCTCCCACTCTTAAGCTTCCAATATGAAAGAACATCATAAAATTGAGCATCATTTTCCATGATCTCTAATTTATCTTAAAGGTAGATGTCAAGCTCTGATTGCTCATTCTTTTCTTGAGTTGCCTTTGATAAATATTTTTTGAATCTTTCAGTATCCTTCATCCTTTTCTTATTTCTTGGTTCACTTTGGTAAGAAGAAACACTACTATTCTTGTTTGCCTTTAATCTTGCAACACCACCAAGACCATTCCCACCACTTGGTTTAGATCTAACAAGGTGATTAAGGTTACTTTGATTGGGCCCCTGCTCCCCACTAAAACTAGACATGGCATTTGTGCTATTATTGCCACAATTCCCATTTTGATTTTTTTTTCAATCTTGTAAAAATCAAACAACTTTCCCAATTCTGCTTCAGTCCAATATCCATATTCTTTTGCTTTTCCTTTCGACTTTGGATATAAATCCCCTAGGAGGCAATTCAAATATCTCCACGAGCGGGTGGATGAGTTGGCAAAGGACTCTTCCAGCTTAACTAGAGGTTTTGGTTTCAAGCCCTGGGAATGCAACTCCATTAAAACTCGTGAGGGAGAACCTTGCCGCCCGTTAGGTCTTGCCCAGCTCGAATCCGGATTAATTGGTGGCCCAATGGGTTTTCAGATACTAGGTGCTCCATACCAAAAAACTAATATATATATCCCATTTTTTTACTAGGATCCAACACCATTGCAAACAAAAATGTTCTTATTCATTTTTGTTGGATCCAACCAATATTTAGTGAACTTTTTCTTCATGTTTCGTGCAGTATTAACTAAGTCATTTGCCTTGAAGATTTCCCATTCATTTATAAGAGTACTAATCTCACACAATTCATACAACAATAAATTAATAGTATAGTTCCAACTCCCACTCACCTACAAGAAAAAAGATCTTACAATATTAAAATTGAAAACAACTTCAACAATTGAATTTAAATATAAACTTACGATGTTAAAATTAGAGAATGACTTTGTAACTCCAAATGAAGGAAAAGTTAAGAAGCTTGAAAACACAATAAAGACAAAAAAATTTCACAAAATAAGAAATTAAATTTATTTAAAATCTCATTTACTAAAATTACACTTTACCCTCAAAATAAACAAATGGAAATGCTCAAGGAATCTGGTTAGTTTTCTGATGTTATTCTATTCCTCAAAGTTTGGAATCCCAAGAGCACTTGGAGCACTCAATTCATCTCTAAATGTTTGTTCTCACCTTGTTAGTGTATTTCACAATTCATGCAACAATAAGTTAATAGTACAATTCCAACTCCCACTCACCTACAGCAAAAAAGATCTTACAATATTAAAATTAAAAACAACTTCGATAATTGAATTTAAATATAAACTTATGATGTTAAAATTAGAGAATGACTTTGTAACTCCAAATGAAGGAAAAGTCAAGAAGCTTGAAAACACAATAAAGACAAAAAATTTTCACAAAATAAGAAATTAAATTTATTTAAAATCTCATTTACTAAAATTACACTTTACCTTCAAAATAAACAAATGGAAATGCTCAAGGAATTTGGTTAGTTTTCTGATGTTTTCCTATTCCTCAAAGTTTGGAATCCAAAGAGCACTTGGAGCACTCAATTCATCTCTAAATGTTTGTTCTCACCTTGTTAGCGTATTTCACAATTAATGCAACAATAAATTAATAGTACAATTCCAACTCCCACTCACCTACAGCAAAAAAGATCTTACAATATTAAAATTAAAAACAACTTCAACAATTGAATTTAAATATAAACGTATGATGTTAAAATTAGAGAATGACTTTGTAACTCCAAATGAAGGAAAAGTCAAGAAGCTTGAAAACAAAACACAATAAAGACAAAACATTTTCACAAAATAAGAAATTAAATTTATTTAAAATCTCATTTACTAAAATTACACTTTACCTTCAAAATAAACAAATGGAAATGCTCAAGGAATCTAATTAATTTTCTGATGTTTTCCTATTCCTCAAAGTTTGGAATCCCAAGAGCACTTGGAGCACTCAATTCATCTCTAAATGTTTGTTCTCACCTTGTTAGCCTATTTCACAATTAAAAATTA